GCGGCCCTGGAGGGGGAGCTGGTGAGGAGAAGCCCCCGCGCGGGCGGGCAGGAGGGCCGTGCCCCGCGCCGGGGCCCAGGCTGCCCCGCACCGTCCTCTCTCCAGAGGGCTCGCTCCTCCCGGGTGGCCTGTTTGCTGCGGACGTGGGGCGACGGTGCAGCATCTGACAGGAACCAGAGAGCCCACGATGGGCCTCCTCTCCGCGTCTTCCCCTCGGGGCTGTGCTCCCTGCGGCGTCTGCTGCCTGCCCCGTCCTGTGCCCCGCGACAAGGCCCGGCCCCGAGGATCTCCATCTCTTCAGCAGGGCCGACGGTCGTGCTCACCCCAGTCCCACCTCCTGTGTGGGGCGGCCCTGCTCTTGCGATGCCTCCTCTGGGTTCTCGGTGCTTCCTCCGTCACTTTGACACCAGCCCAAGTTTTCACAGGGACCATGTTTCAGAACAAGCGGGAAGCAGCCGTTATCAGCATCTCCCTGAGCCCCGAAACCTGACCCTTCCGCCACCGATCGGAGGACAAGATGCGTGGAACTTGGCAATATTCCCTCTCGTTAGGAGCTTTCCAATTATTGAAAATTAAGTAACTCCCTATGGAGGGGAAATCATTAAATATATAGTAAATAATGAGGTTAATTAATTTAACCCCTTCTAATTAGGAAACTAATTAAATCAGAAAATTAAAACTGACACGAGACATTAAAATCAGAAAGTTCTGAATTTAACAATCGCCCCTTCCTCTTCAACCAGTTCCAAAAGTGGGGTTTATATTGGCTACATAGTTATGAGCCAGCAGACTAGTTTCAACCTTTAGCGTTGTTGTGCCCAGCGTCGACCAGTGCAGCCCCCAAGGACACACAGACAACCGCTGTAAGAGCACAAAGGAGTTTATTACGGGCTCGAGACCGGGCCCTTGACACGCACCGATGTAACGGTGGAGGTCGGGAGCCCTGAACAAAGGAGACAGGGATTTTATATAGGGATACAAGTAGACTTCTAAAAATTAAATCATGTTGGCAGTCATTCATTAGTTACATAGGTGTATCATTCATTGATTACACAGGTGCATTTCTTAATAATGGTGGGTACACAGTTATTTTATGGCTAGTTTGACCCCATCAGTGGCCTGCATTGCTCAGTTCTATTTTATGGCCAATTAGACCCATTACTGGGCTCCACTGTGGCTGGCCATCAGAGATAAGACCAGAGTGGGGTGGGGGTCATAAACCCTCTTTGGAATGCAGGCTAATTAGTCTTGAGTAAGCAAAACTTGAATTACCAAGATGGCGGTTATACACAAGATGGAGGAATAGTGGCTAAGTCTCACAAGCGTTAGATTTTTCCATAGCAGAAATAATATTTTTAGAGTATTTGCCTTTTTTTCTACTTTTATTTTCTGAGATTAAACCTTTTTTTTCTTAAAGAATGAATTAGAAAAAGTCCAAATCCGAAATGGACTGCGACCCAGGCAGTAACTGTCACCGAGTGTGGCTGAAGCCGCGCAGCGCGGGAGGCAGAGCCGGGGAAGAGGCCCAGCGTCGGGGGTGGCGGGCGGGAGCCGGAGCCCACCCACCGGCTTCGCCCACGAGCTCGGGAACCATCTGAGAGAAAAGGGGGCGTCCATTTTGTGGACAAGCCCAACTCTTCCGACGGCCCTGAGCTGCCAAGCCCGGCAGCCTTATCTTGGGAGGGACATGACCTGAGGATGTCCACTCATCGCTGCGTGGAGAAGGGAAAGCGACCTTGTGTTTGCTGCCCCGGCGATAGGGCTGTCGTTAACCCCTGCGCCACCAGGGACGCCCCTGCAGTGATCTGGTTTTTAGTTATTTTTATTATTTTATTTTTAAATTATCATTATTATTATTATTTTAAAGATTTATTTATTTGTTTATTTATTTATTTATACAAGCACTGGGTACAGTCAGAAGCGCAGGAGGGTGAGAGAATTCACCAGAGCCAGAGCAGGGAGCAGAGCAGGCAGAAGGACCGAAGGACACTGCTGAGGGGAGCAGCGGGCGGCAGGAGAGGTCTGCGCGCCATGTGGGACCCTCCTCTGGTGGCCGGGGAGCAGCCAGGGATTGAACTGGCGCTGCGGAGGCCGCGGGCAGCTTCGCAACCCAGTGCTCAACCGCTGCGCCACCGGGGAGGCCCATTAATTATTATTATTTTTTAAAGATTTAATTTCTTTAATTTTTATACAAGAACCGGGGTACAGGCCAGATGCGCAGGAGGGAGAGAGGATTCACCAGAGACAGAGCGGGGAACAGAACAGGCAGACTGACTGAAGTACACTGCTGAGGGGAGCAGCTGGTGAGACAGGAGAGGTCTGTGGCGCCATATGGGAACCTCCCTGGCCGGCCGGGAATTGAACCGGCGCTGCCGAGGCTGCGGACAGCTTCACAGCGCTGAGCTCAAACACTTGTGCCACCAGGGAGGCCCTGATCTGGTTTTTAAAGAAACTCTAAGGGTTGGTTTTATGTTATATTGTACTTCGAGTCTTGGCCTGTAGGACTTTTTTTTTTTTAAACTAGAAAATGGGGGCCTCCCTGGTGGTGTAAGGCATTAAGTCTCAGTACTATGAAGCTGAACGCAGCCTCTGCAGCACGAGTTCAATACCTCACTAGGGAGCTGCCCACAGGGCGCGGCAGACCTGTCCTGTCTCCCCACTGCTCCCCTCAGCAGTGCATTTTAGTGGATCAGCCTGTTCTGTTCCCCACTCTGTCCCTGGTGAATCCTCTCACCCGCCCCCCACCTCTGGCCTACACCCGTTCTTGTATGCATAAATAAATCTTTAAAAAAAAATAAAAGAAAAACGACAGAAATTGGCAATGCACCACCAACGTTCCTTTCTTGCTGACGTACGGAGGCCGCACTTCCCAGCCTCCCTTGCATCTCATGTTAGGGCCAGACGAGGCTCTGGCCAGGGGAAATGGCTGGACATGAGAGCAGCAGGGCCTGCAGAGAGCAGGGCCACGGGGTGACAGAGCCCTGGTGCCCAGCAGTGGGGGGAGCTGACCGAGCCGCTGAGCCTGGTGCAAGAACCCCAGCTGGACCCCAAGGAATGCTGTATTTAAGGGTCCACAGGGGTAGCATCACCATTTTGTGCAGGGCAATACATTCTAGGGGAGGGGCATGGGCCTGGGCAGCCTGGATGCCCCCAGTCTGTCCCGGAGCAGCCCACCCCCGCGCTGGACACCGCTTCCTTGCAGTGCTGTGACCGTTTATGGGGACCGCGATGTGGGCAGTGGAGACCTGGCACGAGTCCACGACCACCATTAGGCGCCCATCAAGGGCGTCGCTCTACCGTTTACCCACGAGGGACTCTGCTTTTTGCTTCTTAAGTGACGGATGAGTTACGTAGGATATTTTCTCAAGGAAAACGCCATCCACACGGGCTCTCCGGGAGGACTTCCGCAGCCTTGCTCTGAGCAGGGGACTGGGTGTAACCCCCTTTTTACCCGAATGATGCTTCTACTTTTCCCTCCAACAGCTGGACGACGGCTGATGACGCCCAGCGCCCCCACCTCTGGACCCCACAACTTGGGGGCTCCCAGTTTCTCCTGCCCTTAAGGCCGACCTGTTTTACTGTGCCTATCGCCCTCTTCACGACACGGCTACGTGCAGTCTGTGAACCCAAACTATGGGGTAGTGAGCTCGGACACCACCTTTACGGGTCTGTGGCGGAGCCGGGGACGCTGAGAAGAGAGTTTTAAAGAAGTTTTAAAGAAGCCCTTGGAAAACACTGCTCCAAACCCGAGCCCCCGGCGGGCGCGGCCCGAGTCAAACACTGCAGGCGCCACGCGGGCCTTTTCCTCCGGCCTCGGCGCTCGAACTCGCGAACAGGAACTGAGAGACGTTCCCCTACAGAGCCCGCCGGCCTAGCAGCTTGGCGCCTATTCCCTAAGGGCGGCTCACCAGCCCGGAGTGGGCGCTGGGCTCGGCTGCCGCCTGGGGTAGTGCAGGGGTTCAGGGTGCTGCTACCGCCCCAAAGCGTCACCCCTCCGGGTCCGGAGAGGGCACAGCACACCCGTTTATCGGTGGCCCCAATTCAGCAGCCTCGCGCGGGTGTTTTCTTTTCGAAAGAGTATTTCTGTGTGGAGGACGGGGGCACAGGCCAGCGGCGCGGGGGTGAGGGCTCCCCAGAGTGGGGGGCCCAACAGGCGGGTCCACGGACACCCCCCGCCGAGGGGACCGAGGCCCCCGCGCCGACTCCCGCCTCGGCGGCCCGGCGGGCGGCCGCCCTCCCCAGCCCCGCGGCCAGGCGCCGGGCCGCCCCCGCAGACGCCGCCTCCCCCGCCCCGTCCCCCGCGCGCCCCCCGCCGGCCGCCCGGCCCGCGCCCCTCGCCAGGCGCCCTCGCGGGGGCGGCGCCCGGCCTGCCGCGCGCTCGGCCGTGCGGAGACGGACGCGGACGGGGCGCCGGGGCCGAGCGCGCAGCCCCCGCCCCGCCTCTGTCCCTCCGCCGGGCCGCGGCGCGGGCGGTGACGTCACGGCCGCGCGCCCTCGGCCGGGGCCCCGCGGCGCCGCCCTCACGCCCGGGCCGCCTGGGGAGCCGCCGCCGCCCGCGCCGCCCCGGCGCCGGCCCCGCCCCTTCCGCCCGCGCCTGCGCCGTCGCGCCGCGCGCGAGCCGACGGGAGGCCCGGCGCTTCCGGCTCGCTCGGGCCGGCCCACTCCGGCCGCGGCGGGGGGGGGCGGCCACCCCGCGCCCCCGGGGCGGCCCCGGGGGCGGCGGCGGCGGCCGGGGCGGCGGGGCCCGGCGCGGGCTCGACGCGGGCCCGGCGCCCGAGGCCCGGCGCGGGCCGCCGCGGGGGCGCGGGGCGGCGCGGGCCGCTCGCCGGGGCCCGCGGCTCCCCCTCGGCGGCGGCGGGTGGTGCGGCCCAGGCGCGCGCGGCTCCCGCGCTGGGGCTCGGCGCGGGCGGGGCGGGCGGAGGGCGCGGGAGGGGCCCCGACTCGCCGGACCGGGCCGGGGCCGCCGGCCGCGCTTGGGAGCCAGCCCCGCCGGGCGGGGCGGGACCGCCGCCATGTCGGGCGCGCCGCCCGCCGTCCCCGAGGAGATGTTCCGCGAGGTCAAGTACTACGCGGTGGGCGACCTCGACCCGCAGGTACCGCCGCCGTCGGGGCGCCCGGCCCGGCCGGCCCGGGAGGCGGGCCCGGGGGCGGCCCGGGGCGCGGGGGCCGGGGCCGCGCCGGACGCCGTCCGCGGGGCGCCGGCCGGGGCGGGGGGCGCGCCCCGACCCCCGCGCTCGGCGCCCCGGCCCGAGGCCGTCACCTGTCGGCGGCGCCCGCGCGGGCCTCGAGCGCTCCTGGGACGGGGCCGCCCGGCACCCCCGGCACCCCCGGCACCCCCGGCGCGCGCCGCTCCGCGCGGGGCCCTGCCTGACCCCCGCGAGGCCCGCGCGCTGCGGTCGCGCCCGGCAGCCCAGCCCGGAGCACGGCGGGGGCCGGGGCGGGAGAGCCCGGGGCGCAGGGCGAGCGCGGCCGCGGGGCGCAGGTGAGCGCGGCCGCCGACTTCCCCGCGTGGCCCCGGGCGCCACCTGCTCCTGCTGTGACTTCAGGGGCTGGTGAGCTCTGACCTCCAGGGTCAGCGCGCGCCGCCCTGAGGGGGTGCGGGGTGGCGGCCCCTCCTCCACCCCTTCCCCGGCTCCTCTCGGGACAAGCTTGAGAGTCCGACCCCCTCCGCTCAACTTGGAGTCACGTCCAGGTGCCCAAGCGTCCTGGGCAAACCGCTGGCATCCGCGGCCGCTGCTTCCAGGGCGCGGGCCAGCAGCCCCCTGGCCAGTCCCTGAGCTGGTGGGGCAGGCGGGTGTCCGCGCAGTGCGCCTCAGGCCAGTGCGTGCAGGGGGCCCTCTCCTCGTGGGGCCGGGGTGCCCAGACTGGGGTGGGGAGAGCCTCCCCCAGAGGTGCACAGGAGGAGCCACCCCCAGGGCGTCCCGGGCCTGGGCCCCGAGGCGGGCGGAGGCGGGGCGCTGGCTTGCTGCGTGTGGGCCCCTCGGGAGCCCGGGTCTGACACATGGGGTGGGAGCGGGTGGTGTGGAGGGAGACGCAGCGGGCGCGTGTGCTGAGGAGGGGGAGATGAGGCTGGAGGCTGGCAGTGAGCAGCTTGGACGGGAGAAGGGAAGCGAAGGCCGGGAGGGAGCAGAGAAGGGCTGGGAGAGGAGGGGCAGGTGCGGGTCTGGTCACCCCCGAGTGTTGGGAGTGTGGGGGCCACTGAGGTCAGGCCCAGGGGAAAGGCAGCAGGGTCAGGGGCTGGGGGCTTGTGGCCAGTGGCCCTCGCCCAGCTCTGCAGCGGGGCCTGTCTGCGGGGTCCCCGTGTGACAGCAGCCCACTGAGCCGCCAGGTGCCCCGCTCTCCTGGGAGCTGTTCGTCCTCACACCCGGGGTCTCCTCGAGGCCTGGAGCCTCCTGTGCACTGGGTTCTCCACTTTGAGGGGCCCCCCCTTTCCACTTTGCCCCCTACCCCCTCCAGCTAGCTGGCTGCCTTTTCCTGTTGTGCTGATGGCTCCCTGGCAAAGGGCTTCTGCTGGGCGAGGAGGCAGGGCCTCTGCCTGCAGCCTCTGCCCTGTGCAGGTTTGGCCTGGGCGTGCCTGTCCCGGGCCTCCTCCTCCTCCTCCTGGCCGTGCCTGCTGACCTCCTCTGTTCCCTGCGTGCTCTGCCCCAGGTCTCCTGGCCGCAGTCCGCAGCCAGCCCAGTGTGGTTGCACGCCATGGGGACCTCCTCTGGAACCATGTCCTGCTTTAGGGCCCGCGGGCGCCTGCAGGAGACCCGAGTGTCTGGGGCTGGAGGAGGAAGCGCGGCCCTCTCTGCCCAGGCCCGTGTCCGCTGCCTGCCGCGCTCCCTCCCCCCACCTGACCCGGCAGGCTCACCTGTCTCCGCCTGGAAGGCCTTTCCGCATCTGTGGCTCTGTCTTCCTGGCTCGCGGTGCCTCCGTCCTTCCTTGCCGTTGATCCCCGCTGTTTCATGCTGACTGCCCAGGAGGGAAGGCTGCCCGTCCTGGTGGAGAGATCTTTATTGTTCGCAGCTCGTCTGAACCCACAGTGAAATGTTCGTGTGGTTTTCTTGAAGGTCATCCAGTTGCTGAAGGCCGGGAGAGCCAAGGAAGTGTCGTACAACGCGCTGGCCTCGCACATCATCTCCGAAGACGGGGACAACCCGGAGGTGGGGGAGGCCCGGGAGGTCTTTGACCTGCCTGTGGTCAAGGTGCGTATGGCATCGGGTTCGCTGTGTCTTCAGGTATCCCGAACGCAGTGCGTTGCAGCTTGATGTCTCGGCAGAGGCCTTGCCGATGCCGCTCTGTGGGGAGCCCTTCCCCAGGGCCTGCCTCGGCCCAAAGCCCGCCAGCCCGTCTCTGTACCTGGCGGGCTCGTGCACCTGCCGTGGAGGCCCCATTTGATGGCTGTCTGGAAGCTGGAAGCCGGGAAACCTCTCGGAAGCAGGGGCCTCAGTGAGTCCGCAGGGAACATGCGTCTGTCCGGGCAGGAGGTGGCTGCGGTGGGCAGCGCGGCCCCTTCCTCCTCCCCTGCAGCCGAGTGCTTTGAGAGGCAGCTGCACGTGCGGCCCCCACCTGCTTCCTGTCCTCGGCCGACGGCCCTGTGTTGCGCGGGCCACTGGGCGGCGTGGCGGGTGGTGGCTCCTAGCGGCGGCCGGGCAGCGTGCACTGCGTGGGTGCAGGGGGGCGCCTGAGCCCCGGGCTCTGCTGGGGGGCCGCGTTGGGCGCCCGTGTGCCCAGCAGCAGCTCATCTGTCGTGGGCACGTCTGGGCATTAGAGTGAAGCACTGACTGGGTATCAGCCCGGGCGTCACATTCCTTCAGGGCGCTGGAACGTACGCTTTCCTCTGTGGCCTCGGGCCGCGCTGGGAGTGTCGGTCGTGCCCACTGGACGGGCGCAGGCTCACTCTGGTGGTGTCTCTGCCTTTGGGGTGAGGCGCCCGAGGACGAGGGTATGCCTCTCGTCCCACCTGCTTCGTCACTGCTGGCGTGACCCCCTGGCATGGTGCTCTGGACCACCCGAGGGCGGGCCTCGGCGCCTCTTCTGCTTGCCCCTTCGTGGCCCAGCGTCTCAAAGTGAGGAGACCCAGGCTGACCGCTGCCTGGGCCCCGGGGCCTGGCTCTGCGGTCCAGCACGGCCCTCCCTAAAGCTGCTGAGCACGTGCCTGTGGTCACAGCGGCCCCCTCCTCCTGCCCCACCCAGCTCAGGGCTAGCGTAGCACCCCTGGGCGCTGAAAGCCTCTTGGACACGAGACAGACACCGGGGAACTGGAAATTCTGGTTTGGGGACAGCCGCCATCCTGCCCAACTGGGGGCCTCGGGGTCCCTGGGGTTGCTGTGGAGAGTGGAGGCTGCCACGGGAAGACGGGCTGAGGCAGGGCAGAGGCGGCGTGGCTGATGGACGCTGCCGGTTCCCGTCCAGGCCCCGGGACTTTCCCCAGGACCATCACGGTGGCAATAAAGCGCCTGGAGAAGAGCAGTCAGTGCCCGCTGGCCCACGGGCGCCGTCCATGGAGGGCAGAGTGACCTGTCTGCCAGTGCAGCCCGTCTGCGGAGGACCCGCCGTGCGGGTGCGAGCTGAGAGGTCGCTGCCGTCACCTGAAGTGACGAGGGTGCCCGTGCCCGCCGCTCTGCGCTTGCGGGAGGTCAGAGTCCGCTTGGAGCAGCCTCTGCACGAGCGCAAAGGTGCGGGTCTGTCCTCGCGGCGCGGCCAGGGTCGCGTCCCGCGAGTGTCTGCCCTGTGAGTCCGCTCGTGCGCAGGTGTCTTGTCTCGCGACGTCCGGGCACGTCAGCTGAGTGGGGCCCGGCTGCGTTTTTAGGTAGCAGTTTTGTGAAGCAGAGTTTCCTGGAGAATGATTCATGTCATTAAGAAAATGGAATGTAGACATGAGGAAATAATTTTTCAAAAACATAAATTACCCCAAAAGATAGTAATTAATGTCAGGTTTTGTAACTACCCCGAGTCACGGAACGCACGAAGAGATGTCCGGAGAGTGGGGGATGCTTTTCATGGTTTTCAGCGCTACCTGCTTGGTTCACTGAGACAGCGCCCGGATCGGGACCGCGCTGGTTCCGGACTTCAGACCAGACTGGGGGTGCATGGGGGGGCTCTGTGGGGGTCCTCAGCTCCGGGCCCGCTGGGAGGGCCTTGCAGCTGGAGCAGGGGTGCCTGCGTGTCTGGAGTGGCGGCTGCTAGAGCCCACAGCTTGGTGAGCCGGGGCCACGCTCCCCTGGCCTGGCGCTGCGGCGGGCGGGCTCGGCCTGCACCACGGTGCCGCAGGTCCCGGGCGCCCGAGGGGAGGGACGTCGTCCTGATTGTACGTCCAAGACATTTGTCATCTGCTGTTTTTTTTTTTTTTTTTTTTTTCAGCCTTCCTGGGTGACTCTGTCCGTCCAGTGTGGAGCTCTTCTGCCGTATCCTTTTTGGGGAAGGGCCCTCGAGGCAAGACTGGTGGTGGCGCCTGGTGAGCCCGGACCCCAGTGAGGGCTGGGGTGTCGTGTGCACTCTGTCCCTGCTCTTCTCCCGCCCGCCCGGCTCTGTGTGCCCGCCCTGCCCGCCTGGGGAGGGACCGGCTGGCCTGGCTCTGGCCGGGGGCGGGGGCTCAGCCCTGCGGCCACAGGCTTTGTGACATCGGGCTGCTCCTCTGGGCCTCAGTTTTTTGTCTCTGAAACAGATTGCTTTTATGATATCAGTGAGGTTGGGTACTTTAGAATTTGAACTCTATGTGAACCAAACCACGAGTTATTTGAAGACTAGATTGGGGGAGATGTCAGAGCAGCGTTGGTTTTATGACACGCGTGTTAGTCATGTTAGTGGTGTTGGCTGTGCAGTTGGCGCCTGCTCCGGGTTGGGTGCAGGACACAGAGCGTGTCCAGCAAGGCCTGGTCTCTGCCCCATGGAGCTCGCGGGCATGCGCTCGCCCCTGCGTTCCAGTCTGCCCTGCGCTGGGCTGGACCTCAGCATGGGCCCTCTGCGGGCCGCAGCTTGGCGGCCTGCCTCCTGCCTCCTCTCCCCTGAAAGCGTCAGGCTTCCCTGGGTGGTCACCATGAGCGCGGCCTGATGCAGGCAGTCCCGACACGGGCACCTCATGCCTGAGCCAGGGGCCCCGTCACTTGCTGTGATGGAGCTCCGCCAGCAGTCCCTGCACACTGCGTCCCAGAGGCAAGGGGTTTCCCCATACCAGAAGCTCACAGGGCAGTGCAGCCAGATGGAGAAGATTCAGGCAGCTCTGTAGCAGCTCCAGCATCTAAGCCAGAATCTGGAACGTTGAGGAGGTTCCTGTCCTGCTTGTTTTCTTTGTGTACAGACAGACCGGTGGCAGGATGGGGGTTCCTGGAGCCCAGGGGAGTCTGGGGGTGGCCAGCTCACATTGTGTGGGGTGTCTCAGGGTACGCATCAGAGCTTCCAGATTGCGGTAGACCTTTCGGTGGGATCTGTCTTGATCCTCCTCTCTCAGTAGGTCTGCTTTTCTCCTAGAGGAAGGGAAGTTATGCTTTTACCCATTTCTGATTTTTTGATGCTTCAAATTCAACCAAAAAGCCACTGTGCTTGCTGGAAATAGGCTACAGAGCTCAGGCACCTGGAGGCCGTGCCGCGGCCCGGCGCAGTCAGCGAGTGGGGCCAAGGGCTGCTGTCCACGTCAGACTTGGGAAGGCCTTGGGAAGGATCTGTTCTTGCTCTTGTCTGAAAACACCGAAGGCCAGTCATGTTGTCCGCAGTGACAGCCGGTGGTGGCCCGTCCACTCCCCCAGCAGGCACAGCGAGTCACACGTCAGCCTTTCCTTCTGGAATAAACTTACTCGATGCTCTTTATTTATTTGTTTACTTTTTTAAAATGGATTCATTATGCATACAAGAGCTGGGGTACCGGCCAGAGGTGTGGGGGGCGGGGGGTGAGAGGACTCACCAGAGACAGACTGGGGAATAGAACAGGCGGATCTACTGAAATCTACTGCTGAGGGGAGCAGTGGGGAGGCAGGAGAGGTCTGCTGCGCCGTGTAGGTAGCTCCTTGGCCGGGGATCCAACTCAGGCTGCAGTGGCTGCGGACAGCGTGATAGTGCTGATGCTTAACCCCTGCGCCCCCAGAGAGGCCCTGCTCGAGACTTTTAGGTGGCTTAGGATAGTCGCTGTGCCGTGCTCGCGTGTGTACCGCGTGTTGTGAATGCACGTGTGTGTGGGGAGCTGTAAGCTGGCGGGTGCTTTTCCTGTGAAGGCCTCTGCCGCTGTCCATGGTGCCAATGGAGCCTGCGGGCGGCTCTCCTGGTCCCAGCGGCGGCGCTCTGGGCAGCGTAGTTCGGCTCTTCTAAATGGAAGGTCGGGGTGGAGGGGGCGCGGCGTGTCCAGACAGCCGAGGAGGGTGTAGGGGAGAAAGGGATGGTCCTGACTGCATTTCGTTGGAATCTTAATTTGATAAAACAGAGTGAACGGTTTTTCTCCGGAGTCGTGCCAGATCTTTTTTGGAGTCACTGCCTGCCTCTCTCAGGTAAGCCCGACACAGGCCGCCTCGTGGCGCTGGCGCGACGACCCCGCTGCCAAGGGTTGGTTCACAGCCGGCTCGCAAGCCGCCCTGAGACAAGCTGTTCCTGACCTGTGTGTTTAAGAGACACGCATGTTCGTGCTTCGCTTTAAGATTTAAAAGTTCAGGGCAGTGGTTGAGCGCTGGGTTGTGAAGCTGCCCGCGGCCTCTGCGGCGTCGGTTCGATCCCCGGCTGCTCCCCGGCCACCGGAGGAGGGTCCCGCATGGCGCGCAGACCTCTCCTGCCGCCCGCTGCTCCCCTCAGCAGTGTGCTTCGGTCCTTCTGCCTGCTCTGCTCCCCGCTCTGGCTCTGGTGAGTCCTCTCACCCTCCCGTACATCTGGCCTGTACCCCAGTTCTTGTATAAATAAATCTTAAAAAAAAAAGATTTAAAAGTTTAGTGGGTGAAAGTGGGCTTTTTATCCTAGGAATTACAAAGACTTAAAACTTGAATATAAAAGAGTAAAGGTGAAATTAAGAGGATGGAAAGGAAAATTCAGTCAGAAATAAAAGTAGAGAATTTTCTTTTTCTTTTTAAGATTTATTCATTTATGCATATAAGAACTGGGGTATGGGCCAGAGGTGTGGGGGGTGAGAGGATTCACCAGAGAGAGAGTGGGGAGCAGAACAGATGGATCCACTGAAATCCACTGGTGAGAGGAGCAGCGGGGAGACAGGAGAGGTCTGCTGCGCCGTGCGGGTTGCTCCCTAGCCTCGTGCTGCAGAGGCTGCTGACAGTTTCACAGGCTGCGTCTTAACCCCTTGCACCACCAGGGAGGCTCCTGGAGAATTTTCTTAACGAACCAGGGCTCACACTGATCCGTTAGAATGCAGGCCTCAGTGGGTGGCAAAGCGGAATGAGTGTACAGCTGCCCAGAGGCGGCACCGCAGGGCGAGGTGTGTGCCCAGAGCGGGCAGGGCCAGGGACGCTCAGCAGCACAGGAACCCGAGTGTGTGTTCTCTGCCCTGCAGTTGTCTGAGCTCAGGAACGTGCCCAGATCTAGGGGCAGGGTGCACAGGGCACCCAGCACGTGGCTGAGGTAGCCTTGGAGATGAGCCGACGGCCATGCCTAAAGCCACTTGCACGGCACCAGCCCGCTAGCTGAGCTGCTGCGCTTGAAACGTTGGAAAATACGGAAAAGCATGAAAATGAAATAAAATGTCCCCCTAGTCCCATCCCTTTCCCCCTCCACCTGGAACTTTTGTTAATGTTTGGTATGGGAAGACCTTTCTTGGTTAAGCTGATGCAGACTCACTGAATGCGGCGGTAGCGGTGTTTGGGTCATTTTACCCACTTGTACATTGATGAAGAATCTGGCTCATAGATGCTTCCAGGGGACATAAGCTAATTTGGGGGCTCCCTCCCTGATGCTCTTTCCACAGCAACACGTGGCCCTGTGATGACACAGGCTGGCGGGACTTGGCCAGGCTCCCTGTGGCTGGTGCCACACATGTCCTGACGTGGCCAGGGCTGTCCGGGGCCAGGGGCCAGCGCCTCGGGCCCAGGGGGGATGCTGTGGTGGCTCATGGGCGGTGTCTGCATCGCCAGAGTGCAGTCTCACCTCTGCTGACCCGCAGAGCCGGTGTCGTTATGAAAGCCTTTAATGAGAACGACATTCTGCTGCTTGTCCTGTGACATCAACTAAATTAAACAGATACAGTGATTCTAGAGGTGACCATACGTTGACGCGTTCTTGTCAGCGTTCAGAGCAGTTTGGAATCCGAAATAGTTTCCTGAGTTATACAGAAAAAGTTAGATGGGAAATGGGGGATTTTTGGCGAGCCGCGTCGTGACAGCTGAGAAGAAGCTGACGTGCTGGTTCTTCACGCTGGTGGAAAAATCAGTGGACGAAGTTCAGGATTCTCAGGGACTGTTAAATTGGTCCAGAAAGAACTGGACTTGGTTACAGTATTAGAGTCAGCTCTCATACCTTTATTTTTTTTTTAAATGCTTCTCTTGTCTTGCAGACTCTAGAGTTCTATTTCTCAGAATTCATTCCTGGTCTCCCTGGGGCAGCTCCCCCAGAGAAGCAGCAGTGCTGCGGGCACTGTTTCTGACCGTTGGGTGTGACCAGGCAACAAAGACGGATGTCAGCAAAACGAGTGTGCTAGGAATGAAAGTTTTATGACAAAACTTGACTAGTCAGAATCTTAGTTTCTCCCACTGGGGCCTCCCCGCTCCGAGGTGGGGTGAGGCCGGGCGGGGGTGCGGGGGCTGACCTCGCTGTCCACCAGGTCTCTGCTGAAGACAGAAGCGCCCTGTGGGCTCTGCTGACCTTCTACGGGGGGCACTGCCAGCTGACTCTGAACAAGACGTGCACGCACCTGGTGGTTCCAGAGCCCAAGGGGGTAAGAGCCGGCGTGTCTGGTCCCGTCTTTCCTGGGCTTTGTTATCACACTGACCTGCTAAAGCTCATCTTCTCGGCTTGTGTTATCTAGCCCTGTCTTTCCACAAAGGGGGTGATTTGATGAAGTTTTATTTGATACAGACGTGACTTGTAAATTCACTAGGATTGGGGCTTATTTCATGGAGGAAATAGGAAAATATTTTTAATCTCTAGAGTTTCCAGTAAACTTCAGTTTCTTATTATTTGTGAAAATAGGTGGTTAGTCTTCGTCACAGTTTTTAAAAAGATCTTGTCCCGAGCATGACTGTGCACTGGGGACGTCCTTGGTGTAACGTCCTCGGGAACGTGTAAAACCACGCCCGGCCCGGCCCGCTCAGGCCTCTCCCAAGCGCTGGTGGCCGCGTGGCCCAGGTCAGCAGCGCCGCCTCTGGAAACGCGTTGCAGGCCCCCCCGCCCCCGGGCCCGGCACCCACCTCCCCGACACACGCGCCCTGTGGGCCCCGTGGAAAGCCCAGCTGCACGTTCGTGGTGGGAAGTCCCGTGAGGGAGGTTCCCACGTGTAGCCGTGGCCTCCGTTTCTCCTGCTGCTCTCAGTCTGATCCCACGTCACCGTATTTGACCTGAGAAGTAGGAGCACGTGCGCTGGGTAAGGTGGGGGCGGGTGGGAGCCCCCCAGCCCCGCCTGGTCGGCCTTGGCAGCTCACCGAGGCGGGGCGCCCGCCCGGTCCTCTGCACCCTGACGCGGGAGCGCTGTGGCCGGCAGGGCCGGCGCCGAGTGGACCCGGGAGACGCAGCCTGTGGGGCAGCGTGGCGCGTGCGCTGGTGACGTCACGTGTTGACCTCCTTGGTGGCTGCAGAGGTGAGGGGCGCGCTCTGGCTTAGTGCCGGGCTCCCCTTCACGTCAGCGCTGGGTCATGAGCACGACTGTATTTGATTTCGGGGCCCACTCACCCCTCTCCGAAGTTCTTTTCTGAGCGCGCCTCGGGGAGCACCGAGCAGACGCCCCGCTCTGCCTCTGCTTGCCGGCAGGAGAAGTACGAGTGCGCGCTGAAGAGAGCCGGCATCCGGGTCGTGACCCCGGACTGGGTCCTGGATTGCGTGTCCGAGAAAGCCAGGAAGGATGAAGCCTTTTATCACCCTCGTCTGATTATTTATGAGGAGGAGGAGGAGGAGGAGGAGGAGGCCGAAAACGAGGAGCCGGACTCCCCCGATGAGGGCAGCACGGACGGGAAGTCCAGCCCCGCCTCTTCCCGGGAGGGCTCTCCCCCCGGCGCCCGCCCGTTCTCGCCCAAAGCGAGCACCGAGAAACCCAAAGGGGAGTTGATGTTCGATGATTCCTCGGACTCGTCTCCCGAGAAGCAGGAGAGGAACCTGAACTGGACGCCCGCCGAGGTCCCGCAGCTGGCGGCGGCCAAGCGCCGGCTGCCCCCGGGGAAGGAGCCGGGGCTCATCAACCTCTGCGCCAACGTGCCCCCGGTGCCGGGCAGCCTGCTGCCCGTGGAGGGCCGGGGCGGCCTGCTGGCCTCGGGACAGAGCCTCCAGGGTCCCGGCAGGCCGGAGATGACCGCCACGTGGAACCCGGCCGTGCGGACGCTCAGGAACATCACCAACAGCGCCGATGTCCAGCAGGCCGGCCGGCCCTCCCACGTCGCCCACGTGAGTCGCTCGGGGCGTGCGCGGGGGCGTGGCCTGCTCCGGTGTGTTTCCCGCTCCCGGAGCAGGTCGCTCACGGGCAGGGCGTTCTCGGGGCTGGTCTGCGGCCGTCTCCGACCACGGGAGCCCGTGTGTCGTCAGCTGCAGTTCAGAGCTGATTCCATTGTCCCCGCTTGGTTCCCACTCGAGGCCCCCAATACAAACTCACTCCCCTGCACTATTGAATTGTGGTGCTTGGTGGCTGCAAAGGAGAAACGTGCGTTTCTCGAAGCTCCTGGTTGCATGGCGCTTGCCTTTGAGTTGAACGGTGAGAAGACGGGCACGCTGCTCTCTCCACGAGAGACCCTTCGTGCACGGCGGCAGTTGCTGGTAGCCGCGCCGATGTTCTCTGTTCCAGATCCTGCAGTCCCTCTCAGCACCTACCAAGAGTGTCGAGCAGCAGGTGAACCACAGCCAGCAGGGCCACGTGCACGCCAACGCCGTTCTCTTCAGCCCCGGGAAGGGGCCCCCGGAGCCACACCTGTCGCAGCAGCAGCCCCTGCCCCCGCCCCAGCCGCACCCGGTGCTGCATCTCCCCCCCCAGCAGATCCTGCAGCTGCAGCAGCAGCAGATGGCCCAGCAGCCTTACCCCCCTGCACAGACACACCCCTTCCCGCAGCAGCCCCCGCAGGTCCATCAGCATCCCTTCCCCCAGCAGCAGCTACACTTCCCCCCACAGCAGCTGCACCCCCAGCAGCCACTGACCCGCCCTCAGCAGCCGCTGCAGCCCCTGCAGCAGCAGCATGCCCTGCAGCAGCAGTTGCATCAGCTGCAGCAGCAGCAGCTGCAGCACCAGCAGCTGGCTCAGTTGCAGCAGCAGCAGCAGCAGCAGCAGCACAGCCTGATGCAGCAGCAGCAGCAGCTGCAGCGCCTGCAGCAGCAGCAGCAGCAGCAGCAGCAGCAGATGCAAGCTCAGAGTGCACAGCACCTGGGTCAGCCGCCACCGCCCCTGCAGCTGCAGGCGCCCCCACAGCCACAGCCGCAGCCCCAGCTGTTTGGACACGACCCGGCAGTGGAGCGTGAGTGATGGGACTTGGCTCTTTCTCCCGAAGTCTGCCCCTGCCCGGGTGGGGTGCCGGGGTGAGGAGTCACGCTGCAGCTCGTGCAGAACGGGTGCGGGGTGGGTGCCGGCCTCAGCAGCCAGTGGCCTGGGGGACAGCCTTTGCCTGGAGACCTGAGATGCCCCCTCGGCAGCCTCCTTGGTGTTGCGGGAGGCCGGGTGGCCACGGGACTGCCCCTGTGCATCGGGGCAGGAGCCCTTGGTGCTACTTTCAGTGACTTGGCGCAGATGCAGAGCCTGGGTTGCCACAGGGGGTGTGCCTGTCCATGCGCTGGCCAGAGGGCGGTTCTGATTCTGGCGAGCAGGCCCGAGGGTGTAACTCCCCTCCCGGTGTCGTTCTGCCTAGTCCCCGAGGGTGGCTTCCTGCTGGGCTGTGTGTTCGCAGTGGCCGACTACCCGGAGCAGATGTCCGACAAGCAGCTGCTGGCCGCCTGGAAGCGGGTGAGTGGCCAGCAGGCCCCACGGAGCCACCTTGTCTGGGGGCTGCTTCCGAGGAGACCCAGGCACTCTGAGTGCGGGGTGGGGCCGCGGCTGCTCTTCTGATCTGCTTCCTCAGCTGGGAGGGAAGGGATTGGGTGTTCTCTCTAAGACTCTGTCCTTGGGGTTCTCGGGGGCGTGGCCTTCCTGTGAGTAGGGCTGTGGCAGTAAGGTCAGGTTTTTGGTGACCCCAACAGGGCCTGTCCCCTCCTCTGTCCTGAGCCCCCCGGGCTCTCCTCTCTGGGAGAGAGGCTGCCTCTTCCCTCTGGGCCTCCAGACAGAATGAGTGTTGCGCTCGTCTGTTTTGTCGTGGGTGGAGATGGGGGTGCGCGCAGCGGCTGCACCTGGGCTCCGCCCGCTGAGTGGCTGCCACCCTGGCCTGCGCCGGCCCGTGACGGGCTGTCTTTGTGCAGATCATCCAGGCACACGGCGGCACCGTGGACCCCGCCTTATCTGGCCGCTGCACGCACCTTCTGTGTGAGAGCCAGGTCAGCAACGTGTACACGCAGGTGAGGGGCCCCTGCTCCGGGACTGAGGATGGGAGGGGGGTCTCTCCCGTGTCTGCTGCGCCAACGGGAAGGCCACAGGGAGGTGGAAGGGACCCTGCCCAGAGCCGGGCCTTGTGCCCTGAGTGGTGGAGACGGGCTAGGGGCCGCGGCACCCTGCGGCAGAGCCCCACGGGGGTGGGCTGTCAGGGCAGTGCCCGCTGTGGACCGCGTGTCCGCTGGAAGGTAGGCCTCTCGGGAGGCTGCTTCTGTGCTGCACTTGGGGAGGGCGGGCACCCCAGTCCTCGCTGGTGTGGGGCCTTTGCGCTCCCATGGCGCTCAGTCTTGAGGATCAGAGACGAGTTCTCGCATTTCCAGTTGAGGCGCCACTTGGGCCATGGCGAGCGCTGCCCTCTGTGCTGCTGGCTGTCCCCAGCGAGCAGCTGCCCGCGGGCGGCATCAGGGTCGCTGCTCCGCGTGGTCAGGCGGGAGAGGGGAGCCAGGCGCGGGGAGCCGACCCTGCCGGCCCTGCGTCACATCCGTGAGGACGCAGCGGCTCCCGTCCTCTGCACAGGCCATCCGGGAGCGGAAGCGCTGCGTGACGGCGCACTGGCTGAACACCGTGCTGAAGCGCAAGAGAATGGTGCCGCCTCACCGCACCCTGCACTTCCCCGTGGCCTTTCCGCCCGGGGGGAAGCCCTGCGCGCAGCACGTGAGGCCACACCTGCTCCCCCCGCCAGCCGCTGCCCCGTCCTCCCGCGCCAGTGCCCCCAGCTGCGTCAGGGCCCCTCCTCCTGCCGCCGCTCGGAGTCCTTGGTGCTGTGCAGGCACCCGAGGTGGCCGCTGCGGCAGGGCCCGCGCAGCCCTGGGGCTCTCCTTGGCCTTGGCGCGCCGGGCAGTGGGAAGGGTGGGGGTGGCTCGGCCAGTGCCCGTGGGGATCACCTGAGCAGCGCCACAGGTGCAGAGAGGCCCCGCCGTGGCTCGGCAGGGCATGCCGCTGCCGCCTTTAAAGTGCTGTTCTGGGCGCCGGGGGCGGCACCACGTTTCGGGAGGAGGGGCCGGGATTAATCGTCCCTGTGTTTCGGCTTCTCTGCTCTCTTCCCCTTAGATTATTTCTGTGACTGGATTTGTCGACAGTGACAGGGACGACCTGAAGTTGATGGCTTACCTGGCGGGCGCCAAGTACACGGGCTACCTGTGCCGGAGCAACACCGTGCTCATCTGCAAAGAGTAAGCGCCGCGCTGCGCGCCCCGCGCCTGCGCTTCCCTGTCCCGGGGTGTGTGCCCCGCGGCCCCGTGTTCCTTGCCGCGTGGAGACCTGCCTGTGAGGCCCAGGGTCTGCTGAAAGACGGGCAGCGACGCTCACAAGTGCCTGAGCTGAAGCCGTTGCGAGCCCCCGTGGCGCCGGGCGGGAGTGGGACATGGGTGTGCGGCGTGGGGCGCTCAGCCCCCGCGGGGGTTTCTGGACAGCCCTGCGGCGCCGTCGCGAGAGCTGGAGAGTAAATACGGGTGAGAGCAGAGGCCTCTAACCCGCGCTTAATGTTTCCTCATAAAAAGACCGACTGGTTTAAAGTACGAGAAAGCCAAAGAGTGGAGGATCCCCTGCGTGAACGCCCAGTGGCTGGGGGACATTCTCCTGGGGAACTTCGAGGCGCTGAGGCAGCTTCAGTGCAGCCGCTACACGACCTTCAGCCTGCAGGACCCCTTCGCCCCCGCGCAGCACCTGGTTCTGGGCCTCCTGGGTGAGCGGGGTTCTCACGCCGGAAGTGCTCCGCCACCCTGAATGAAGTCTGTGCTCTCTCCCGCCCTCCTGCCGGCTGCCCGCCCTGCCCAGGGCCTCGTGGGCTGGGGTTTTGTTGCATTTTTAAGCTCGGCTGTCGTAGCGGGAGGCGCTCCTGTTAGCTCTACATCAAGCTAGTCTGTGCTTCCGAGATGGCGCCTCTGAGGGCAGCCCCGGGCTCCTGGTCAGGGTGGAGGTGGCGTCCTCGGGCCATGTCGCGCGTGATGGTCCTGCTGGTGCGGGTGCCGTCCTCGCCCCACCCCGGAAAGGCGCAGCCCTGGGCCCTGTGCCTGTGGACGTCACTGGAGCACGGCCGTCCAGACCCAGCCCAGCGTCTGCTCCTTGAGCAGCCGAGGCCCGGGGTTTGGTGGGAGGAAGCTTTGCTGCTTCCCCGCCCCGTCTGTGGGCCCACCTGACCTTGGGAGCCGCCCCCGTCTCTTCTCCCATCCTCGGCCCACCCCTCGCAGCATCGAGCCCGGCTCCGTGGGGGTTGTGGTGCCTGGGCCTGCCGCGTGGGCTCCCCACCGTGACCCCGGCTCCACGCGTGGCAGGGGCGTCGGCTGCTGCTCCCCAGAGCCTTCCCAGGAGTGCCGGCAGCTCCCGGAGCCCCCCGCAGCGGCCGCGGTTCCTCTGTCCCCGCCTTCCCTGGAATGAAGGGTTTGCACCGCTGACCCCATGTGCCCAGGACGGCCACCCCAGAGCAGGCTTTCTGTGGTCACGTCGTGGAAATAATCTGTCTCTCTCTTGCTAGACGCTTGGAGAGTTCCCTTGAAAGTGTCTGCGGAGCTGCTGATGGTAGGTGGAGCGAGCTCCCCGCCTGCTCACCGCAGCGGTGGGAGACACGTGGGGGCACACTCGTTTGCGAATTGAAGTTTCTCTTCTAGTGGCTTGTCAGCATGGCAAGTGACTCCCGTGGGGGCAGGGCTGCAGCCATCAGATTCAAGCTGGCGCCCTTGTGGGCCCCGGGCGCTTCCCCGGGGCCGCGTCAGTCAGCTGGGCCCTTTCCTTCCGCCAGTGCAGCCCGGGGGCGGCTTGGAGGCCGGGTGGGTGCTGGGACCCGGGGGGCGGTGGCAGAGGCCTGCCTGCCCTGCACTTGGCTCCCGCGGCAGGTGGCGGGTTCGGGTCAGAACAGGCGTGCGTGTGCAGGAGCTCCGCGTGGGCAGGTGAAGGCGGCGGGGCACAGCCTGCTCCCGTCTCGCCCTTGATGGCGCAGTCGGTCTGGTCACCCGGGGGGTCTCCTGCACCCTCGTGGGCGAGGTTTCTTGGTAGAGCGTGTGACGCAAAGAGTATGTTTCCAGACCCACGCAGGCTGCCAGCCGGGGTACGTCAGGAGCCACGTGTGGCGTGACGTGCGGGGACGGGGTTTCTGCTCCTGCGGCTGCGCCCTTGGGGCCGGCGTCTGGGCTGTGTGCAGACGGGGTGGCGTGGGGCCCTCGGGCACTTCCGTGCTCCCCGGGAGAGGGCTGAAACGCCGCTTTATCGCAGGGTGCCAGGCTCCCGCCCAAGCTGAAGCAGAACGAAGCGGTGAGCACGCAGCCGTCCTCCAAGAGAGCCAGGTGGGTGGGCGCGGCCGCACGGTCTGGGCAGGGGCGGCGGTGGGGGCGTCTCTGGAACGAGCAGGGGCTCCGGGCAAATTTGCGCTCTGCTTCCCGACATCCCCGGCGTCTCACGGCCGGGCCGAACTGCGCGAGCGCAGAGCCGCCTCCCTGCGCCCGTGTGGACACGCGGGCGAGCGCCCGTCCTTTGGAAGGCCTGGCCGGCTGCCGGGCCAGGCCGGTCAGTGACTGCGGCCTGCCCTGGTTCTCCGGGGCCCGCAGGTGCCGGGCAGAGCTGGGCCTTTGTCCCCCACTGGTGGCTCCGGAAGACGCCCTCCCTGCTGTCCCGGGGCGCGGCTCCCCGCCTGGCACGGCCCGCGCTGCGGCGCGCTCTGCCTCGCCCTTCCTGCCTCATCTCCCCGGGCTCCCTCTCCCTTTCCACGCCCCGTGAATTACTGCATTGTCTGGTAAAACCCTTGCTACGTGGCTATTTTTGACGCATCACAATATCACACCGAGATCAGAGCGAAAAGCAGGGTCTGGAGGTGTAGGAGGGCCGAGAGGCCTGGGACGCCCGGGGGCCTTTTCAGAACCAACTTCCTTTTACTTTGAGTGGGGAGGGAGGGGGAGGAAGAGCAGAGTCGGCCGCTGAGCCCTGGGAGGTGCCAGGGAGGGGCGGGTCACTCGCCACCTCTCTCTCCTCCAAGGAGACGCGGCCAGGCGCGCGCGAGCTGCGGAGGCTGTGGGAGCTGGCGACGGCGCTTGTCTGGTCAGGGCCGTTCCAGGTACGCCTAAAGCCAGTCTCTGCTCTGGTCTCCCTGGCAGAATTGAAGACATCCCCCCGCCCACCAAAAAGCTGACGCCAGAACTGACCCCCTTCGTGCTGTTCACCGGGTTCGAGCCCGCCCAGGTCCAGCAGTACGTCAAGGTAAGGCGCTCTGGGGCGCCATCCCCTCTGCCGGCTGCTTGTGGAGGTGCTGTGGGGGGTGCTGTGTGCCCAGCCTGTGCGGCCCGGGCCAGGGGCCTGGACGGTGCCTGCCGTGGCGCTGAGACCGTCTCGGCTGTGCGTTGTGAGCCACGGAGCGACTTTGAAAGTTTTAAAATTGATGGCACGAGAGAGTCCCGGGGAGGGTGTGGCTCCTGTAACTTCGTCTGGGTCGTTAGATTCACGCGTTTCAGTTCTGATTTTAAGGAAGAAACGAACGTAAACGCTGTGAGTGCAGCGATCTGACCACAGCCTGCACAGGCATCAGCTCGCGAGCCACGCGTCTGCACCCGCCGTGGCCAATTGGTGCGGGTCGCGTCCGCCAGTCTGGGGCCGAGTGTGGCGACCTCCTGGGGCCATGCCCCCCTCACGAGCCAGCGCGCCGGCCTTGTGTTGCCCGGGATGCACGTGTCGTCGGTGCCCCTGGGGGGCGCGGGGGGCTGGCTCTGTGCGTTGCCCCCAAATTGTGCATTGCCCGCCCGAATCTGCGCTCGCTGGGGCTGCTCCTCCTGGCCACGTCTCCTGCCCGAGCGCGCCCGGTGCCGCCACGCGGCTCCTCCGACTCAGCCCAGCCCCTGTGTGTGTCGTGGCCGCAGAAGCTCTACATCCTGGGCGGCGAGGTGGCGGAGTCCGCGCAGAAGTGCACGCACCTCATCGCCAGCAAGGTGACGCGCACCGTGAAGTTCCTGACGGCCATCTCGGTGGCGCGGCACGTGGTGACGCCCGAGTGGCTGGAGGAGTGCTTCCGGCGCCAGGAGTTCGTGGGTGAGCGCTGCCTCCCTCTCCCGCCAGACACGCGTCCCTGTCCACCCCGATTCAGCCTTTAATCCCTGGCCCTGCCCTGCCCGCGGCCCCGGGCTCACAGCTTGGTCCCCGCCCTGTCCGATGCTCTGCTGGGTGGGAGTCTGCTGTCAGGGAGGCCAGGCGGTGCCCCCCAGCCTGGGGGTCCCCCCCGCCCGCCTCCCCGCTCCGCAGTGACCCCTCCCCTAGCAGCCATGCGGAGGTGGCCCGGGAGGGCAAGCGAGTGTCCCGGGAACCGAGTGCCCGGAGCGCAGAGCAAGCTCAGCCTCAGTGGCCCCGAGCAGCTGCGTTCACCCTCCCCGTGTGGACGTGCCGCCCCCACCCCGCCGAGCCCCCAGCCTGTGGGACAGGCCCTGGCCTGGTGACCAGCTTCCCCGCCTCGGGTCTTCCTCGCTATGGGTCTGCGCGCCCCAGCACAGAGGCACTGAAGCCCGTCAGCCCGAGGTGGTCGCGTGGCTGCCATGGTGGTCCGTCCACACCCGCGCTGTGGCGGCCCCGGGCCTGGTGCCCCGCCGTCGGCGTGAGCTCACGGCCGAGGCGGCGGAGCCACAGGAGGGCCCAGCGCTCCCGTACTCTAGGACAGTCTGCCGCGTCCCCCGGGCGGGGTTCTCAGGGACAGGGGATGAAATCTGGCCGGGCGGGCCCCTGTGCGAGGGGCGGGGCCGCCAGGCCGCACCGCCAGCACCGCCTCCCTTCCAGATGAGCAGAGCTTCCTGCTCCGCGACGCCGAGGCCGAGGTGCTGTTCTCCTTCAGCCTGGAGGAGTCCCTGAAGCGGGCGCATGTGGCCCCGCTCTTCAAGGTACACTGGGCGAGGGTGCACGGGCGTCTGGGGCCACGGTGTGGCGGGGGTGCCCAGAGGAGAGGGTCCCTGCTCTCGGGGACCGGCGGCCCTGCCGTGTCCCCCAGGCCTTCCGGGATTCAGGCTCACAATGCCGGGCCAGCAGCCCTGTCGGGGCGTCCATCCTGGGACACGCAGCTGCCGCTGCTGCTCCTGCAGCCGTCGTGGTACTGTGGGGTGTCAGCTGTGGGACGGAGGAGATGTGGAGAAAAGGCTTGAATGTGTCTAATTCAGGTCTAAATGTTTTTAAATATTTGTTAATGCTCAGCTTGGAAATCCCTTTTGGTCCAAGAGCAGCGTGCGTGCGTGAGGACGGTCTGCTCTTCATGCGTCTAATTAGGGGCCAAATGAGCCCCGGGACTGAGCTAGTGCACGTGTGCTTGAGGCGGTCAGGCCTTGCCCCGAGTGGTTCAAAGCGAAGTAGTGTCTGTAGCGCACTCGGAGTGAGGCTGCTAGAAAATGAAACCTTAATCATTCAGACCATCCCCCGTTCTGCATGAGGGCAGAGAACACGCAGAGAACAAGAGGGGGTGCGGGCCCGCGGCCCGTCCGGGGCAGGCAGGCTCGGGGGAGGCCACGCGGGCAGGCTTCTGTGGCCGTCCCGGGGCTGCTCCGCCTCTCCTGGCATCGTCAGTCTCGTCGCTTCTAATGACACAGCTCATGTGACCTATTCAAGCGCTCGGACTGGTTTTTTTTTTTTATTTTTTAACAACTGGGGTGCAGGCCAGAGTCGTGGGGGTGGGGGGGCGAGAGGACTCCCCAGAGACAGAGCGGGGAGCAGAACAGGCAGACGACCGAAAGCACTGCTGAGGGGAGCAGCGGGCGGCAGGAGGGGTCTGTGCGCCTCGTGGGCTGCTCCCGGCCAGGGCCGGCTGGGATCGAACTCGAGCTGCAAAGGCTGCGGACGGCCTCAGCGCTGCGCTCAGGCCCCTGTGCCACCGGGCAGGCCCCAAACTATTTACTGTTGCGTCGGGCAGCGCCACACTGAGACACGAGGGCGTGGGGCAGGCTGCACGGCCAGGAAGCTGCCGAAGAGCCAGAGCCTGGCCGTTTACTGAGAGAAGAATCTTCCAGCAGCGGCTGTGAGGGAGGGGAGGGGAGGGGAGAGAAGGGGAGGACGGTCCTGAGTCTGCCCCCGGCCCTGCTCGCTGCTGGGCGGCTCGTGCTGTCCTGGAGATCACGCCCCGGCTCCCCAGCCAGGGTTTCCATCTTAGCAACAAGGCGTCCGCTGGTCAGCTTCTGGGGTCCCCCGTCACCCCTCGTGATGTCTAAGTGAGGCGTGTGTTTTATGCATCGGTTCCCCCCCCTCCCCCCGCCCCGGGTGTTCTGGTCACACCCTGGGCCGGGCCGCGCAGCCTTCCTGGCGTGAGCCAGCTTTGTGCCCTCGATGCATCTGAACGGCGCCCTGCAGGGCTGGGCGCTGCCCCTCACTGACGGGCCCTCCTGGCCTCGCTGAGGATTTAGAACTGGAGGCAACAAAAGGGCGGCCGGACAGGCCCTTAGGGTCAGCAGACCCGCAGAGTACCCGGCCGGGTCCCTGCAGCCCCACGCCAGGCTGGAGACGGGGGGGCTGCCGGCCCCTTCTCGCCGCAGGGAGCCAGGCACGGAAACGGTCAGGGCGGGATTGTGAGGAGACACAGTTCGGGAACGCACAGCGGCTTGAAACGGCGCGCGCTCGCGTTGCTTTCTAGGCGAAGTATTTCTACATCACCCCCGGCATCTGCCCGAGTCTGTCCACCATGCGAGCGATTGTGGAGTGCGCGGGCGGGAAGGTGCTGACCAAGCAGCCCTCCTTCCGGAAGCTCCTGGAGCACAAGCAGAACAAGGTGGGCGGCGGCTGGGGACGCCTCCTCGCCGGAAAGCAGGTGGTCGCCCTGCAGTGACCGCGCCCTCTCCCCCCGCAGAGTCTGTCGGAGATAATCCTGATCTCCTGCGAGAACGACCTGCACCTGTGCCGGGAGTACTTTGCCAGGGGCATGGGTACGCGCGGGGGCGGGCGGCGGGCGGGCGGGCAGGCTGCGGGCGGGCGGGACCAGCGTGGCCGCTGACCGCGCTGCTGTCCCCCAGACGTTCACAACGCGGAGTTCGTGCTGACGGGCGTGCTCACGCAGACCCTGGACTACGAGTCATATCCTTTGAGAGGGAGCGGTGCTGGCTGGGGGGGCCCCGGGGCGGCGCCCGCCATGTGGTGCGGGTGAGTCGAAGGGGATCAGCTGGGGGGGGCGGGTCCCGGGGCTGGGGCGCGCTGCGGCGGGACAGGCGAATGGACTTTTCCTCAACGAGGCCACGTATAAGTTCAACTGATGCCGCCGCCGGCACGTGCCGGCCGGGCGCTTGTTTTCCAGCCGGGAAGACGAGCAGAGTGACTGTGCTGCATCTCGTTGAGATGTGATCCCCCCGGGGGAACGTGAATTATGTCTTGTGTTATGAGACTTCGGGAGCCCACATTAGGCTCCTGGTTCAGTGGCTGGCTCGGAACTGTTTCCACGACACTGTTAGATAAGCGGAAGCTGCAGATGAAATGGTGTAAATAAAGATCTTGCTATCTAAATTATGGATGTTAAAACTTGAAATGTTTTGTACTTTGATTATTTTTATTTCTTATACTCTTTTCTTTTATATTGATAACTTTCCCACGTTTTAAATAAATGTACTTTTGAACTTAGAGTTGAGCGGGTCCTTTGTCCCAGGTTTGCATGCTTTGTAAGATTTCCATCCAGCGGGATCCCATTTGCCATGAAATTTCAAGGCAATATATTTTTTAGTGAATGTTCTCTAAGGAACGTCTCTGGAGGGCGCCTCTCGGGCGTCACAGGCACCAGCCCGCCCTCCTGTCCCGCCTTGCTGCCACCCGGCTTGCGGGCGCGGGTAGGGGCGTCCGTCGCTGCCGCCGAGGGCCGGCGTCGGGCCCTGTGGATGGTCGCGCACGTTCCCGCGGCTTCCGGCGCACCTGAAAAGGCTCTTTGACCCAGAGAATATTAAAAACGTGGCGTATTGGAAAGTGGATGGCGCCGAGGTCAGCCTGCTTACGGCTGCCCGCACAGCGCCTGGGGCTGGGCCGCTGCGCCTGCCGCGCGAGGACGCCCTCGACCACGTCCTCCAGGCAGCCTCGCAGCCAGGGGCGGCTGGGGGTCGGCACAAGTGGGGGCTCCAGGGGGCCGGGGCCAGAAGAGGACCCGGGCATGGCTCCATCTGCCACAGGCCAGGGTGTGGCTCGAGCCTGTGGTGAGTGCTCCAAGCTTCACCCCTGCGCTGAGGCGGTGCGGTCATTAGGCGTCCTGGCGGAGGTGGTGCGGGGGTCGTGTCAGAGGCGTCACCCCTCCACTGAAGCCCTGCCCTGTCCGGGCCGCTCCGGGGCTCCTCGGGAGCCCTCCAGCTGGTGCTGGCAGTGGGGTACACGCGAGAGCCATGCAGAGCCCCAGCCCTGGGGCTGGGGGTGTGTCCACCCTGAGGGATCCTGGGCATCGGGGATCCCCGCGGCTGTGTCCTGTGGGCCTGGGGAAATCATCCCTCAGTGTCCACGAGGCCTGGCCCCCGGCGTCCTCTTCCCAACCTGAGGAAGGGCTGGCGACAGCTCTCTGCGTTCCACTCCTGCTGGGGCGGGGCCTTGGGGCCGCCCTGGGTTGGCAGGGCCCCAGCTGGCCAGCCACGGGGCGCGGGGGCCGGGCCCGCCGCTCTCCCTTTGTCTCTCCCAGGGCGGGCGAGTGTCCAGGCCGGAACAGGAGGTGTTAGTCCCGGCCCCGTCCCGCAAGTCCTGCCGCCCCGCCGGCTGCCTGCCGGGCAGTGGGGCTGAGTCTCCGGCTGGCTCCTGGCCTTAGCTTCCATTCCGGGCCCTTGAGGAGGTGGTGTTGAAGCCCCGGGCCCCCAGGGAGCCACTGGCCACCCCAACGCAGCTTCCAGGCTTCAGGCCTCTGTCCTCAATCTGTCCCTCCCCTGCCCTGACCCCACCGGACCTCCGCCCTGGGAGTGGAGCCAGCACCACCTCTCCTGGCGGCCCACCGGACCCCTGCCCCCCTGAGCTCGGGCAGTGCCTGGCCCTTCGGCTCTGCGCCCTCTCTTGTCGCCACAGGCACATTGGGCCCCCATGGTGGCCTCCTGCACCGCAGCACACCTGGCTTGTGTTGGGGCGTCTGTGGCTGGACGGGACCCAGAGCCTCTCCTTTGCTGCCCTCTGCTGGCGGCTCGAGACCACAGCCCCAGGAAGCCGCGGGGCCGCTCCCTCCCGTCTTGGTGTTTGCCGTGGCCCCGCCAGGCCTGAGCTCTGGTTTCTGACGCCCAGGTGCAGCGGCACCGGCGCACCTGCACGCGAGGCTGGCCAGCTCCTGGCGCTTGGGCCTGTGGGCGGGGAGGGTGGGCGCTGTGAGCAACGCGCTGGGCCCGTCCTTGGTGGCCCGGGCTCAGCCTAGAGGCTAGAGGAGGCAGGAGGCCTCTGCGCGAGGTCAGCCTGCTGTCCCTGGAGCTGCCGGCCGGGAGGTGCCGAGGCCTGGGGCGGCCAGAAGGGAGGCGGGGACAGGGGAGAGGGGAGGCAGGAGCGGGGAGGTGGGAAGAGAGGGGGGGCTCGGGGGAGGCCTCACCTGCTGGCGGATGGGCCTCGTGGACTGGAGGGCTCGGCCTCGCCCCCAGGACTGCAACCCGGGCCCGGGCAGGGTCACAGGCGTCCTGGCCGTGGGACTCCCAGTGCCTCCCCCAGCCCCGGAAACCCGTCGTTCAACCGCCGCTGAAATGCAAACTCCAGTTTCTTTTGTTAAAAAAATCAAGCCGAGTCACAGACGCTCTGCCGCGTCCGCATAGCTTCATGGCCGCGGCCGCTCGCTGGCAGCCCGACCGCTGCTCTGCCCCCCGACTTACCGCGGGGCGACGAAGACGCCCGCTCTTGCTCCGCCGGCCTCTGTGGCCGTCGCCTGCGGCCTTGGATGCGGGAGGCGCTGGGGGCGCGGGATGGGGCGCGGCCTGACGGGGGACACCTGGAGTGTGCAGGCCGGCGAGAGTGGGCGCACCCGGGCCCGGCGCTGGGCCTACGGGGCAGCGTCACAGAGGACGGCGTGGCGGAGCCCATGAGAGACCCAGGGGGTCCAGAAAGAGCAGACCCACAGGCGCTGGGAGGCCCGCCAGCCCCCGGCCCCCGACCCGGGCGCCTCGCTACAAATGGTGGCGAAAGAGCATTAAAGGCTGAAGAAGCCACCGAGGGCTCGGGACTCCTCTGCCCACTCTGCCCGCACCGTGGAGAACCCCTTGCTGGCCTAACGGGCACTCCCTGCTTCACCGGGGGGCTGGGCCCAAGGGGTCCGGACACTTGCCTCAGGTCACACAGAGGCCAGAGGGGCGGGGACAGGGGCCGCCAGCCCGAGCCGTGTCCTGTGCTGGCCCTGGGCCTGCTCGCACCCCTCCTGCTCGGGGGCCTCTCTGCGAGGCCTGGCCCCCCAGCTCCCTCCCCAGGAGTCGGGCCGTGTCCTTGGGGCTGGCTCACCGCGCAGGCACCGGGTCCTTGGCCTCCCAGCATCAACTCAGGGCCCGCCCGGGGGCAGGTGTTTCTGCTAAAGCGGAGCCCGGAGTCCAGATGACGGCGGAGCACCCCGGCGCCTCCCAGGTGCGCCCGACAGGCCCCCCTCGCGCGGGACTCGCTGTGGGCTTGTCTGCTGCCCACATGAGCAGCCCCTCTGGGACCAGGACGACGGCTGGACCGGGGTGGACACTGGAGCCTCCCTCCCATCCCCACCGCCCTCTGCTGGGCCTCACCCTGTCCTCACCCTGCTGAGCCCAGGTGTCCAGCCCCGGCCTCGGCGCTGAGGCCCGTGGGACTTTGAGGTGTGTCTGCCCAGCCCCCAGGAAGCCCGCCCGCCCGCCAGCCCCGAGCTTCCCAGAGGGGCGGCGTCTCCAGGTCTGGCCGGGGCTGGGTGCGGCCGGGGCGCTGGCTGGTCCCAGCTGGCGGAGAGGGCGAGGCAGCCTCGGGCAGTCTCTCCTGCGGCTTCCGGGTGGGCGCGCCGCGTGTTCAGAGCTGCCCTGTGGGCGCCTGCAAAGCCGAGGAGCGCTGTGGGGCCCGGGCACCCCACTTCACATGGACCCGGTGGCCAGGGGCTCGGCGAGCTGCTCGCTGGAGAGCGGGAGGATGTTTGTTGCTGTGCCTCGGGGCGTCGGAGGCCGGGCCCAGGCAGTCCCCCGAGGGATGGGGAGCAGGTTGGGTGTCCGGAGCCGTCTGGAGTCCGCGCCGTGGTGCGTATGCGTGCATGAGCTCGCTTTACCGGTTCGCCTTCGGAGACGCAGGTTTTTCCTGTAAAGCTCACGAGACTGGGAGGTCGGGGGAGGAGCTACGAGGGTGTAAGAGGAGCGCGGGAGAGCGAGGAGGAGAAAAGAGATTTGAGAGGAGAAGCGCGAGAGAGGAGAGCGCTGCGAGAGGAGCAGAGACTGGCCAGGGAAGGTAGACAGACAGGGAAAAGGAAAAGAGAAGGAAAAGGAAAAAGAAGCAACCGCTAGCGTCAGGTTGTCAAGCCCTCGTTTCAATCCTCAGCCCTTCTCTTTCCGTGCCTCGCATCCCGCGGGTCGGGACAGGTGGGCAGGACCCGGGGTCCTCCCTGCTCTGGGCTCCTGCGCCTGCACTTGCCGGGGGGCAGGCAGGGTGGGCAGGAGGGGCGCCCAGGGGCTGGCACCCTGGTTCTGGGGAGCAGCGTCTCCACGGCCGCCCACCTGCCGCGGCACCTCACAGGCCCCCGAGTGCTCCTCACGGTGCTTATCGGCAAGGCAGGCGCTCTCCTCACGGTCACTGGGGACCACACAGGTGAGAGACCTGCAGGGCCCCCAGGCGAGGCCAGTGGGGAGACGCCCTGCAGGAGGCGCGGAAGGAGGGAGGCGGCCCAGCAGCCTGCGGTCCTGGGGTGCTCCTGTGCTCTGGGAACCAAAGCGCCAAAGAACTGCGGGTGCAGGCACCACGGAGAGCAGCGCCGCATCTCCAGGTAAGTCCCCAGCCCCCAGCTGGGGCAGCAGCGGGGTCTCCACGCTGCAAGACTGGGGCGCTCGCTGGGTGGACACTAGGAGGGGCCTCCAGGCTCGTGAGTTCCTGGGGCTGGGGGTTAGTTTGGAGGCAAAACGGCAAAGGCGCCCCCGGGTCAGGCCCCTCCGGCTCCTGCTCACCGCTGTGTCGGGAGGGCGGGGGCGCAGCAGCCCTCACACCGCAGCTGGCTGCCCCCTGGGCACAGCAGCACCTCCCACTGCCCCTTTCTCTGCGAGCTCCTGTGAGGGCTGCTGGGGGTCGCCAGGGTCTCGGGCGGCAGCCAAGCCAGGAAGCAGTGGGCGGGCAGGGCCGTCAGCCAGGGCGCACGTCCAGGGAGCCCACGCGCCGGGCAGCGCTGGCCATGCCTGCGGCCAGATGAAAACAGAGGCCTGCAGCTGCGCGAGGGACAGGCCTGGGGGCTGCTCAGGGCCCGGCCTGCCACTGGGTTTGCCCCAAGCTGACCTCTCACACCCCAGGCCAGACCCCGATGGGGCCGTGACCCGCTCAGACTGGCTTTGGGTGTCACCGAGGAGAGGCAGAGGGTGGAGGGGGTGTGGGTGTGGCCCTAGGGCTGCCTGCTGGGGGGCTCCAGGGCCTGTATCCGGGTGGGGGTGGCCCGGCTGAAGGGTGTGGAGAGGGGTCAGGAGTGGGCCTGCAGCAGGGAGGCGGGAGAGG